TGGGCTACTCTTTTACCAACAAATAGTGGGATTGACCGTCACATTATAATGCCCCAATAATTATAATACATCTATAAGAAAAGAGAACACAAGTATAAGAGATATGAAATAAAAATTATAATACACAGACAAAAATAATTTTAAATGAGGTAATAAGTGTTAAAACATCATTAATTTTCTGAAATCTTCTAAAAAGATTGAAATAAAGGATAAAGATCATAAATACCATGGTCAAGATTCATGCCGTTACTTTTACATATGTACTATAATTTTGTAATATCTATTACTTCTATGTTCTAATTTGTATATGTATTATTATTGGATTTAATTTCTTAAATTTGTTATTAATATTTCACTCATCCATTTCCTGTATCAAGAGATTTTGTAGATAAATCTCCCAATTGTTTTGGACATCTTGCACAAATACATATTTTTAGAAGACATTTTTATTTCATTTGTTTCTCCATGATTTATACATCACACACATTTATACACTACTTCACAATTAAAGCCATATTCTCAAAAAGACACGTGACATCTCTAGTACAATGACTATATAACTCAGGAACATGCTTTCAAAGGTCATCTACCCCTGATGAAGGAAAGTCTACTTTCTGAAAACACTCAGGATACTCGGTTTCTTTTCTGATGCTAAAAAGTAACATGGTGAAATATGAACATATGCTAAAGTAATGTTATGACTCCTTTAATCCTGATAAAATTAAACATACTGGTTTGATTAACACATTCACATAAATGGGTCCAAAAAAACCACAATATCTGTAAATTGCTACCAAAGAAATTAACAGCCAGGTTACAATGCAAAAAACCTAGATAACAAAACTTGTGAAAACCAGAAAAACTAACCAGATGCAACAAGACCCTTGTCTTCTTCTGGTACAAGAGGTTGGTCAACTACAGAATGTTTAGGCCTACGCATTCTTTGCTTTTTAGGTTGTTCAATTGTTAAGGCTCTTATCAGGTCCATTCCACTCTCGGACAGAAACACGCCATCAACATAGAATTGTGGCTGTGGTTTGGGTGGAGGAACTGATTCTAGAGACAGATAAAATAAAAGAGTTATGCACAGAAAACTATTCCATCATTATAAAACACATAAAGCAAATTTAAAAACATTTTCATAACATATCCAAAAAGAAAGTACGGTTTTTCTTCAAAAATCCAAAGGAAAAGAAAAAAGGTTATATATACATTACTTGCCAGATAAAAGGTATTGTTCATGCAAGGTACTGCTTTGATATTGATCTGATAAATAGAAATTCCTTTTTTAAGTTCAATATTATTTAACTAAACATACCTGGTTTTTTGGCAATCTCTGCAGAAGGTGACAGATACAGAGACTCTGGTGTTGGTGACAGAGGTTTTGGTGGTGTTGAGGGAAATGGTGCTGCCAATGGTAAGTATTTTCAAATCAGAGACTTGCAAAGAGTAGTAACTTGTGTGAGAGTTAATACTAGATTACTATTTTCTTAAACTACCAATTTCTATTACTGATCATATGTCACCAGTAACTGTACACACATTACAAGCTGTCAGTATGTATTATATATGCATATGTGCATGTGTGTAATCCAAAAACAGGCAAAGACAAAACATGCCCCCCCCCCCAAAAAAAAAGAGTCAAGAACCTATTTAGTTACAAGTTGTGTATACCTGAGTAATAACATTCAAACACCATTTAATATAGTCCATTTCTTTAATTATTCATTACAGGTAAGAATTTGCTGCACATCAATTTTTTTAAATTTATTTTACCTTTCATATCTTATACACTATTTCACTACTATTAGTATTCTGAATTATGTAGGCTTACTGTGGTTGGGCTGTTTATTCTTTATTTGATTTTATTACTGAACAGTTACCTCCCATAATTAGTTGCAGTCAATGAATGTGTATTTTGGTTCATGATATTATGGTTTTACACTCCCAAACCCTAATGATTTCAGATGTGTTCATTTGTTGTTGCAATTTTAGTTCATGACATTATGATTTCACACTCCCAAACCAGGTACCCTAATGATTTCAGATGTGTTCATTTGTTGTTGCAGTCTTGGTTCATGATATTATGGTTTCACACTCCTGAACCGGGTACCCTAATAATTTCACACGTGTTCATTTGTTGTTGCACAGCAGATTCTTACCTATTATTTACCAAGTATCTATTTAGTACCAGAGGAAATAAAGATACTTTCAAACTTTTTAATAATTAAATGTATTTCAACTGATAAACATACTAGAAAAATTTATTCATTTTTAAATTTAAATTTATTTTCAAAACGACATCTCACATGGTGATTGTCTCTTCAAAATAAGACTGTGAATCAATTCTAAAGGTTAGAGCTATATGACCGCACAAAAAAAGAACTTCTAATCATTCTTCTGATAAAATAAAGTGTACAATAAATTTCAAACAACTTAAAAAGAAGATAGAGCTTTACAAATAGTTTAACTTTGCAATATAATATATTATACTTTCAAATAATTTTTACAATGCAAAAACATTTTTAAGGCTATATAATGTTCTTTTTTGGAAGGAAAGGTGCAACACATGAATTAATATATTGACAATAAAAAGCACCTGCAAGCAAGCTTTCTTAATACACTAAATGTATTCAAATTATTTTAACTGTCTATTCCATCGTAAAACACAATGCTACTGCACAGCTTACATCGAGAGAAATTTTAACAATAAATAACACAGAAAAAAAGTAGCTGAATAATAAAAAAAACAACTTTATATGAAATATTTGACTGATATTAAGTCAGAACAGCAAAAATAGATTTAAACAGGACACTTTTCTTTAGATGGTTTTAATACATACACAACAGGTGAGGTGGTCGCTCATCAACAGGCCTGCAGAGAATACAGTGGTATCCATGATCAGACACGTGTTCTGCATCTTCTTCAGATGATATCTGGTCACATTCCCCATGAAGCCACCTTTATAAAGAAAGCTAGGTTAGACTGCCAACATAATCATACTGCCAAGTACGTAAAGATACAAAAATCTGGCATTTTTTAAAATTAAAATGTGAAGCCTAAAAATTGAAGAACATACAAACCTTTTCTGAATGAAAACCTAGTCAGGAAGGCCACTTCTCTAAAAAAAAAAATCCCTCCCTTCAACTTTCCAGGCAAAATTACAGATATTTCAGATCTATGCATTTACAAGTACAAAACAATGATATTTAAACTTTTTTTATAATTTTATCTACTTATCTCTAATTAAGCTTGTAATCTGTTTAAAAGGGATAATAAAACTTCAGGAAATAGTTTAGAACTTCACTATTATAGAAAAAGACATTCAAACAAAAGCACTGTAACTTGATGTATTTTTATTTATAAAAGAATATTTGACTTTAACTATATAATGAGTCTATATTAACAATACACTTGCATTTGTCTGTCCAGAACTTTTCTCGCAAATTTCTAGATCAAACACTACAAGTCTCACATCGTTAGAAAGACCTTTGTCTGAGGAGTCCAGATTGCATATTGGCTTTTCATTTCTGGATCACCTTAACTGATTTTTGCTTAGTCAAACTTTTCAATGCAACAAATATGGTGACACAATGGCACAACGTCGTTGTCATCATAAGACAACTGGCTTCGATTTCAACTTTTGTTTTTATTTGTAAAGTATTTCTCACAAACAACACTTAACCTGCATATAATTTCCTAAAAAAACGAACATTATACTAAATATAATTTCTATGGGATTTCTTGACTTATTTATGCCTAAAATTTGCATGCGCAGTTTGTTCAAAACCATGTGCTTATCATTTTGTGAACATGCATTCAGATGTTTCTGCATATTCAGCTAAGTTTGCCTTATTAGAACTTTACATTTACTCTATTTTGCAATAACTTAGTTTAGGTTCATTTCATAGACTGCTATATACACCAGTTTCTTTGTTTCAACTTGTAAAACCATTTCCTTCACTGAATGCTCATAACTGTTTCATACTCTGTACACTATTATAAATACCATTAATTTATTGTTTACTTTACATGTAGTTTTACTAAATAAAGTTACGTGTATGTGTGTTTGTCTGACCATGTAAATTTTTTTCAAATAGACCAGGATTTCTCAATCTAACACATAATGCCTGCAAGAAAGTGTAGTAGTTTAAATGGCATGCATAAAAATTCATGGGAAGGGCATGAAAATTACTGCAAATGTTTCATGGGTTGTGGCTAGTTAGGTATTAATCACCACATAAAAGTATAGAGTGAAGAATCAATATTAAATCAAAATATACCAATAATTGGAAAAGAAAACTGAAATAGCTAAACAGTATTGTTTCTCACTCTCTATCTCTTACTTTGAAGTAATGCCATTCAAAAGTTGACAGTTTTCAGTAATCTTCAACATTACATCTCGTAAAACTTGAACTTTTAGCACATTCACCTCTCTTATAAAAAACTCCATACAGAAATATACAAAAAGGTACTTGTTTAAAATAAGGCAAGTCTTTAATAAAATTAGCAAAAGCAAGATTTCTGTCTTAATTGCATGATATATGAAAATTTAATGCGCATCTTCTTTCATGTCATAAAACTTTAAAAGGCTAACCTTAAATAAAAGAATCTAAAGATCATTTTTGGTATCTGAAGAAATCTATAAGTAATACAAACAGTTAAAAAAAATTAAAGCTACTCATGGATATATATAATGCACAGTTAATAACAAAAGGCTTGGAGTATGTGCACAAGTATTAAAAACTAACAAGTTACCACGATGCAACAAATACGTTTGCCCGATTGCCCAAGGCAAGTTCTAACTGACTGAGCAAACTGAACTTTCATGGTACATACACAAACACCATAGCCCAAGCTTTAATAATCAAATGTTTATTTTAAGATATTTTTTTTTATTCAATACCAAAGAGAAGCCTCACTGACAGGAAATATGATTTGTGCACGAGCCACAAGAACCTTCTGAAGCAGCCATTTTGAAAGTTCAAGTTTGGAAAGCACTCATAAGGAATAAATAACAACATCGCTCTATTTTGTATTGTAAAAATTCACTACCTGCTAGGCAAGCACCTACCAATCTTTAGTGCCACTCAGTTGCCTATTGTGACACAGAATGGCTTAGAAAACAGTTTGAATATTTTGGATATTCATGTTTCAAAAAAATTTAACAACTTGATGATGGGTCAGAGAAAAATAAAAGGCAGGCAAGCATAAAGACAAGGTATGAAAAGAAGAAAGTTTAGACATTCTGCCCTAAGTGGATTGTTGGATATCTCTGGTTTGAAGAGAACACAGAGAAGCCAATGCTTTACACAGTTTGCAGTGCACATCCAGACCACAGGGACAAAAACTTGAGCTTCACTAGCCAGGGATCATTGTAATTTTGATACAACAGCCTACTATATCATGACACCAACAAAAAAACCAATGACATAGTGTTGATGTAAGTAGAGCTAAGAAAGAACAAGTGGCTACTCCAACGGTGATTGGTTCGCAACTTGAAGCAATAGATATGCTCTTCTCAAATTGAGAAACTCTTCACAACATTCCTTACAAGAAACAAAAAATGAGTTTATTTTTAGGCTTCTCCAAATGTTCTTGGCCAGCAGTAAGAAGAATGGCATCAATGATAGTTCCAACCAATCAAGTTATGAACCCTAACAAAGGTGAATCTTCTTTTCTTTGTATGTCATATATATTGTAAAATGTGAATAAAAAATCATGAACATGCAAGATTCAGTATTTTTTATCTTGGAAATTGTCATTAAAGTTTAGGTTAGTATAAAAAATTTAGGGTAAGTAAATCTTAGTGGTACTTGCCCAAAATGGTTAATTAATATTTTGGAATTTGTTACACTCTGATCACATGAGAAATCTTGTATTTTCTCAGGATACACTTCAACCACGACCAGAAACATGGAAACAAAAAAGTCAGGTGATGAAATTCACATACCGATAGCACTGAATACACTGAATTATTAATTCATTTTCCTGGTAGTCGATGTGACAGACTGGGCACGTCACTTTACTAGCACATGGTCCACAGCAAGTGTAGTTGTTTTGCCACGAAGCTTCATATCCTGGGTTTCGGGAGCCACATTCAAGACAGATAACACACCTAAGAAAAGAGTATAAATATGAAAATAGTATCAAAAGTTCACAACATTGTGCTTCACCAATGAACAAGAGAGTAATCCTAGCTGTATAAAAATACAGGTGAGTAAAAAATTTCGTTTATTTTTTTTACACACAAAAAAAAGTCAAAACACTATAAAAGTCACTAAATCCTGTTTCGAATTCAGTATCATTCCATTAATGCTTCACACACCTACAGTTTGAAAACATTATGAATTTTGTGTCATTAAAATTACATTCTTACCAATTACACTTCCAGTTTCCTTGAGGCACATCATCTAGTGGTGGATCCAGGCAATAAGTGTGGTAGCTGATGTCACATACGTCACACAAGAGCAAAAGTCCTTCATCATGGGGTTTTCCACATCCTTCACATACTGTACAGTCTAAGCATCTCCAGCCTTTACTGAGAATTACTTTTGTAACCTGCAGGAAAAAAAAAGGAAAATTGTAATTTTTATTAACATAATTCATTTTAATGTGACTTAAAAAGTAGATCTTGTAATGTAAAAACTGATAAAAAAAAATGGCAATTTGTTTGTAACAGATTCAATAACAATGTAAATAATACTGAAAACTTACACTGATATATATATATATATCAGAAATACAAATTTTTAAATACGTTTAAAGAGAAATGTCATTTGATTTCCATTACAAAAATTTTCAAAATGCTGATTTTTTTTTAAACAGATGTAACTATATTTATAAAAATCAATCAACACAGATTTTGTGTGACATTGTCTTTTACACTTCAAAGGCAAAATTTCAAGATCAAATAGCTTCAAACAAAATTATGTTTTGTTTTTATGAAAGGATAATTCATTACAAAATAAAAGAGCACTTTTCCAAAAGTTTACAATCAAACACCAGGGTGTATCTTCAATAACACTGGAATATAAAATATCAGATGTGTACAACGTACGGGCTTCTGTCCAAATTTGGTCTGCCAGCTCATTTTTTATGGCCCCATGACACAATTACCATGCACAAAGTTAAATGTTGTTGTTTTTTAATTTGATGGAAATACTTTTGTCTATTATTACATTTAAGAGTTTCCATATGACAAATTAATATAAATTTTGTTAAATAGTCTTTAAAGGTAGTAGAAAATGCAAAGGGCTCAAAAACTGAGTAGTGCACTCGGTGTATGTATGTGTGTGTGTATATATATATAACAATGAAGACTGCATAGTTTTACATACATAACTATAAATACACATAATTCATGTACTATCAGTAATCACCACAATATCTATATGACACATTTAACTATTTTGTATTAAGAAACTTCATACCTTAACATTAACACAATAAGGATGGTAACACTGGCCACACTGAGAACAAGCGATTAATCTACCTTCTTCTCCTTTTCCAAAACTGCCACACATAACACAGAGATCCTGGAATAGAGCATTATCTAATTTAGTAAAGTGTTTTAACAGTCATTAAACTTTTAAAAAAATATGAAAAACATTCTGTATGTTTACAATACAATAGTTTTAATTCTTTTTATGCTCCTGCATGGAACACTATATGGTTATTTGCATTCAACAGATATTTATGCACATCACATGTCAAACAAAGCAATGTATGGGTAGAGTGATGCCACCAAAAACTGATTGCTTTTGGTGGCACCACACTTCTAAATCACAAAAATGTGTTCAGATCAAGTATGCAAATGTTCCATGAACAAGAAGTTCAATGGCAAAAGCCATGCACAAAGCTATAATACAAACCATTATCACTAAGGATCTCCATCTGCAAACGAGACCAATAAGGTATGGGTTCGGCAAGATAAGGCTTAATGTCATATCTTCCACTTTACCATATCACACCTCAACAGCTAAAGAATGAAATTGGTATTCATGTTATTCCATATAAATAAATACTGGTCAAGTAACCAGATGCAATGCCTGTGTCTTTCAATGTGATCGGACTATTAAAACAGATGCTGGAAGTTCATCATCCTCATACACTACGTGAATTATGGAAAGCCTACAGGGAGGAATGGAGTACACTGGATATGACAGCATTAAGATGGAGCCTTCTTAAGGGGAACTATGTGCAGGGCTATTATTAAGATGCACAATTTGACACTTTAGATGAAGTTTCTACAGAATATGTAGCTTCTACAAATATCTTATTTTTATATTTGATATTTGTATGAATTCACAGCTTTGAAAATGTTTCATTGTGATATTATTTTCAAGAAACAATTAAAAATGCTTACTTTTGTTGTAAATTTCAATTACTAGTTTTCATGTCTTCCCAAATTTTTGCAATCTTACCTACAAAGTTTTTACTTTGTAAAACTGTAAATTTTATCTGTTTTGATTTGAAAACAGCATGTGCAGCTTCACTGTGTTTACAATCACTGGTTTTCAATAAATAAACCTTTTCACCATACTAAAATATTATGCAAGCCAACTTTTCTCAAAGATTGTTAATCAAAAGGTTTCATTTAATATATGTAATAAATTTTATGCCTATTTTACATTTATTTATATATATCTTAAATTTCTTTTCTGTAATTTTCTTTAGCCATTCAAGCTGTTATTTAGGCCAATAAAGATAAACATAAATGCAGCCTAACACAGCAGCCTTGTTGGCAAAATGAAATTTGATGTGATATGGTAGAGTGCTAAATGATCTACATCAACTACTTCATCTTGCTCCATGAAAAACATTTCTTTTCCCATCATACTGCAACATCATAACTCGCATGAAGTATAAAATGAAAAAGCAATCTTTAAAATTAAATTTCTGTAGTTGTGGCTGAAGTTTAAAAGAAAATACAAAGAGATTTCACTAAATCTTTAAATACTTATACAATTACATGACAATGTCATGGAAAAACAATGATTTGTTAAAATTGGAGAAACTACACTGGTATTGAAGTAACAAGGTTCAAATTAGTGCTATTTCATTCCAAATTATTTCAATTTTTCTTCAATGGTAAGAAAAAATTCTGGTAGTTCACAAATACTAATGGTTTAACTTGAAGTGTGCTCAAAACAACCCAAAATTAAAATTTGAGATTTTCTAAATTTATATGAATAACATTAAATAAATAAAACACTATTTATTAATTTTCAATTCTGAAGTTATGTTTTCTGATGTCTGGAAGAGAGACAAGTTTGTTTTCTATCATTGTTTTAATGCAGTGGTGTAATTTTTTAACTCGGGATGGGATGCACTCATCTAGGTGTGATAGGTAACGTAACTTATTCAACCTTTGTAGTAAAGAAAGCTATAACTTGTCTTAAATAGTCAATTTTCCACCGTCAACCACACATCCTTTAAATGAAAAACAATGAAAATCTCTTTAATAACACTTTACTAAAATACAGTTTATTTGGTAATTTTCAACTATAAAACTATAAATTAGAAAAATGATTTACCTGGGATAACACAAATTCATCATTTGTAGTACAAAAAATCAATTTGTTTTCCTTGCCTGGTTCACTATTTTTTAATTCTTTAATTTCACTGGATGTTGGCACCTGAAAAGAAAGACTCAGCCATATAATATGTTGTGGTTCAAGTTGTTTTTAACTTCAGTGCTATAAATGAAAATTCAAAAACAATTCTTCATAATTTCTATTACTATCTAAATATTTTTTCAACCAGTTTTTTTTTTGTTTATATATATACTTTCCAGCTTACATAAGAACAGTCTATTCCAGGAAAATGTATGGATTTAACTCCTCTTGGTTTCGGTCCTCTTTTTCTTTGGAATTCTGAAATCTTCACACTTCGTTTTCCAGTAAATTTTCCAGCACCCTATCAAACCAAGAAGATATAACTACAGATTAAGTACCACAAACAAAAATAAATAAAAAAATTCAAGATTCAGACAATCAGAAAAATAACTATGGTATGTGCAACACCCACAGAACACAATTTTGTATAAAAGTACTCTCCTCACAACAAGAACATGACTTTCACTAGAAGCATATGTGAAGGTTTGATTATATCTTTATTGATGTAATTTATAAATATAGTACTAAAAAAAACTTATTTTTTAAATAAAGAGTACCACTTTTAATATATAAAAACATTACAGTTTATATCAGCATAATACAAACACTTTTCCTGTGCACTTCTTCACAGAAAATCCATTTTCAGAAAATGTTCAATCTTTCTAAATTTTTTTCAATGAGGTATGAATACGATTAGTAATTACTAGCATAGAAAGGCACCCATAGGGTGGCATTTCTGTTAGTTTTTAAAATACAATAAAACTTAAAGGTTTCACACAGAATTAAATAGATTCATAAAAAATGTGTTCAGGCAGAAAGTGATTACAATGTCAAATGTCTTCTAAGGATATTATTTTAATATTCAAGAGTTTTGACACACACACACATAAACTTTGAGTTAATCAGTACTCTTAATAATACAAGAATAAACTTACACGAGGTCGTCCAACTCCTAAGCCTCTCTTCCCTAAAAACTTTCCCCTCCTAGCCAAATGTCTAGTTGTAGAATAGATTGGAAACTTGGATTCATTAGGATGAGTGAAGCCTAATGGTTGGGATGGTGGTGATCCAAACTGTAGTTACACAGAAGAAGAAAAAAAGTACTTTCACTTATAACAGGTAGCTTTTACAGAAAAAGAAATAAGATGAATTTAAGTTTTGCCTGCATCCCTAAGCATTAATATACATTATTTGACATTCAAACTTTTTCATATTTAACATATATTATTCTCTCATAAATTACTAACATTGATCCCTGCCTATAAGATGGTATTCTGGGGACATTTTTTTTATATTAGGGGAGAATAATCTTATAAAATAGGTCAATCATTTGAAGAATTGTTACCAGCCATCTTGTAAAAAGTAGGTTGATAATTTGTTTTAAAAATAGGTAATGTATGTGCAGTGCTTGAAATAGGGCATGATGTCATCCTACTACTTTTCAAGAGGGCCTGAAACCACCCTGCTACCTTTTAGTAGACTATAAGCTTCCCAGAATGTAAAGGTTCAAGAGACGATACAATAAATATTTATGTCAACAAGGGACTGGGAAGTAAAACCTTTTTTTTTCTTCTTGAAATGTCATGTAACAGAAAGGCAGGAATGAGACAAAGTAGTACATAAATATACCGAATGAACCCTCTCACTACAGGCTCAGCTGGTGTGATCAATTTCGTAACAGAAAATAACCATCAGTTTCCAGACTATAACTCGTAACATAATATATCTCTTTATACTTAATTTTATTATTTTACTGCCCTTTGAACTGTGTCTAATTAATAATCCCAGCACACAAGTTGTAAATAATTCACTGAATGTGCAGTTCACATTACCATATAGAATTACATAATGCTTGAGCTACCCACAAGTATACCTCATGAAGAATTTATATTATTTTTCATTATCTCACCTTATCAATCCTAATAAGTTTCTAATTTTGACACTGTAGAATGATAAAAAAATACATATGAAAAACAAGAAATTTTGACACTGTAGAATGATAAAAAATACACATGAAAAACAAGAAATATAGTACTCAGCTTCAACAATTTCATACCCCCCCCTTCAAGCACTGTATATGGTGTAACTAAAATAATGGTTAAACTTGTGTTTTATTACTGTTTTAATAAAATTATGTAATTTGATTTCATATTGGATAAAAGTGCAATGTTAGTTTCGAGTCTGATTTGTTTTTGTTACTAGTGTTACTGGTTCATGCTTGTCAGACGCTACACTCACACATTTGTGGCAGTTAAATTGAAATCTCTAAGCAAAATTGTTTGGACACAAACTGAGTAGCCAAAACGAAACTTTTCAATGTTGTCTCAAACTAACTTTGAGAATTAAATGCAAAAGATATGCTTATGATACAAGTTGAAATATTAAGGAATAGGCTAAAATACACAACTGTGCTGCAGAAAAGAGTTTGGTGTAACAGTGAAAATAGTCCAAGACTGTCAAAAAAAAAGAAAAAGAAAAGAGAATCCAAATATTAACTTTACTTGATCTTAAACACTGAGCTGCTATTTGTTTTTGTAACATGTTACATTTTTTTTTTATAAGGTCGTGTTCAATAACTTAAATAAATAATTATTGTTACTATTGTTTTCTATTTTCAATTCTTTTCAACCAAGATGTTGTAACAAAATGTTATATATGCTTGTTCCTAGAGAAAAACATACCCCGAACTTCAGGTCATCTTATAGGCAGGATGGTCATCCTATAGAACAGGTAGCCTTATAGGTAAGGATCAATAGTAGGTTTTGCAATGGAAAAATATATGCATTTTAAAAGCAGGAGGAGGGAAAGACCAGTTTATTCTAAATCTTAAATTCTAATTCACTACAAATTTATAAATAAACATGTACTTGTGAATTTTCATATTATTTAGAGCATCTTTGGCACTTAAATATGGTAATCAAATTAAAAAACATCTGGTAGCAGCATCATGTGTAAAAAAAAAACTGATGTCACTGGATCCAAAAAATATCCACATTGCATTAAGTCTTCTACCAAAATTTTTTAGAAGAACTTTTTATTCTCATTTTAAAGTTCATGATGTAATTATTTTTCATTCACAGCAGTTCTTAAAAACAACATAATTAAATTTTGTAGAGAAGAGAGTTTAAGCTTCGCAGTGTGGATTTTTATAAGAAGATATGCGACAAATCACTCATGGATACAGCATGGTTTGTCATAAACTTCTCGCATCACCTGTAAGAAAATGATAACATCCTCCTCATCTTGACACTGTTTTTGAACCACAGCATAATGCCAGAATCATCATAAGGTCTATTCAGGTATGATTTCAGCAAGATTGGTCCACTACAAAAATTAGACGGTCAGAACTGACCTATCAAAGCCACTATATACTTGACTCAGAGACTCTGAAATTCATAAAATAAAGTAGCCTTACCTTTCCTGCATCAATACCATCTGTATCCACACTCAAAACACTATCGTCACATCCTGAGCCAAGTGATTCTCTCATCAAGTTAAGAGAAGTATCTGGAGTTGATGATGTAGAAGCACATTCATCTCTGAATTGACCTATGAATTAAACAATTTAAATCAACTACCTAACAAGTTCATTAAACATCAAAAAATTTATAATGCATTTAATAACACAAGTCTACAAAAATATTATTACCCACAAATATTTTTCTACCCAAAAGCAAACATAATAAAAAACTTCAATAAATTAATAAAAATAACATCAGATACACAATATCTAAAAAAATTTAAAACAAAAAGAATGCACTGATGGGAGGGAAAACTTTCAGAGAGACATACTTCTTTCAACCAGAATAAGAAAACTGTATTTAGGTTTCTTTAAAATCTTGGATCATTTTTTCTTCCCCTATCTAGTTTCTTTACTTTCTCTTCATTTTTTTAGGTTTTTATATTTGTTCACAATGCTACAAAATATTTGATTAATTTGTGTTTCAGATTTCTGTACTTTCTCTGGAAATACAACGTTTCTGGCATAGTTGTTTTATATTTTTTGACCATTAAGAATTAAAAATCATATATACAAATACACGTGAGCAAACACATACACTTTATATATATACGCTTTCTTTACAATTGATTTTAACTGTACAGAATGAATTGTTCCAATTTTAATAAAGAATATAGAATTAAAATTCATGATGAAATTACAAATCATTTACATACTGCCTGTAATTTTTTTCATAAAGAAAAAAACTCAAACATATGACAACTTACTTTTTGTTACACCATCTACATCATGCTGCAAGTCAGAAACCTGTTTTAAGAAAAATTAAAAATTCAAGAACTTTCTACAAAACATCTGGTGGAGTCAATGTTACAACAATAAAAAAAAACACTATGATAAATTAAATGCTTAAATTTTATTACAGTGAAAGAACAGTGCTGATATTCCTAAAAGTCGAATAACAGGGCCAAAGAAAACATGGTGGTATCCACTCAGGTACATATTTCTGACCATGATGAGAATCACCAATAAGCAATCCTTTAGAATGGAGATGTGCCAGTACACAATACCAGCAAGTATTGGCCCATTTCAAGCACTATATTACAGACAATGTATTTTTTAAGACCCGGCACTGTGAAAAACTCAGCCCTGATATGGTTGCACCTTTTGTTTTTTATTATTATTATTACTGATTTGACAACTGACTACCTTTATGCTTTCTATTCTAGTTAATAAGCATCATAGGTACAGTGCATTAGAGTAATGGATCATAAAGACAACAAACATGGGATGTTCCTTTCTTTCATTTTTTGTGTTCATCACATACTCTGTCAGTTACTACTGTTTCCATGCTTCCTGGTATCCGACTGAAAATCTGAAACTTGTGTTGAAATTATTCAACTAATGTAACTAAATTGTTTACTAATAATTAGTATTGCGCTTTATGTGCTTTTTCGATTATATGTTTCATAATTTTGGGGGGGGGGCCAAATTTTTAGTAAAATATCCTACTTTTTTCACAGCAGCGGGTCTTAATAATGTACTACAAGTATATGTAATGATCTCTACACGTTACAGATTATTCCATATGTCAAATAAAAATTACATGTACAAACTACAGTTACATTGTTCTTTCAAAGTGTTTTGAATAAACAGTCATTTTACATTTACATATAATACATTGTTATGCATATCTCTACGACTTCATACTTGTAATTATATTCCAGTGTTTGTACTTTGTGCAAAGTATTATTTAACAACTTGCCTTCAAAAAATTTACAGCATGTAGTTTGCTTTCCACTGCTTTAGAAACAAAAACTGTACATTTAACTTGTACAGTTATCTATCAGTCCCATAACTAATACGTTTTTGGAACATTTATAAGAAGATGCTAAAACAAATTGTATATTATTATTTTATATCCCCATGAAAAAACACCCTTTCTAACTTCAGTCCACAAATTTATTCATGGCACCTTAAGGGAGTATTTTAGACCAATTCAAATATGCAATTCCTTTCTATGTACAAGATATGAAATAGCTGTATAGTTCTATCATCAGTTTCAGTTTACATGTCAAACTGAAATTCAACTCAAAATGGAAAATACACACAAAAAAACCGTCCATGGATATAAGAGTTACAAGCTCCCCATACAACTGTATACATCCTTTTGTTCGTTTTCAAATATCTGTAGCATAGTTTTCTTGTTCAAGAATTGTTTATTGGTTTGTTTTTAACCACACAATTGCACACTGAAGTTATACACACTGTAGGGATTGAACCTCAAATTCTAGCATAAGCCCTCAAATGTACCAGTGAACCACTGTTAGGAAATATTTTTCATTCTTCAGTTTAAAGATGTAATGGTGCTGTGCAGCTAATATAAATGTTTTAATGTGTTAGCAAGAAATTGTTGGATTGTAGGTAAGAAGTGAAAAATAGTACACTGAATCTGTCATTACTGAGAGCAGATATTTATAACTGTCTGTAACTTATAGAATGTAGCCTAACATTTTTGCTTCAGTATCTACAGGTTCTAGATTCAAGCCCTACACTAAGAACATAATAAGAGCATCTGTAAAAATCATTATTACAAAAGTTTGAAGCATGAAGGTATAAAATAAACTGCTTTAAAATTTCTTTCCTCTGAGACACAGTAATCAGTGTATGCTTTACTGTACTGACATAATAAATAATACATTATCAGATTCATATACAAGGCAAGGTTCAATATAAAATTAGCTTTTTCAATTCTATTTTGGCATTTCTATACAATTGACTTCAGAAAACTAGGTAAAGGTTTAGTTTACCAAAAAATAAAGAATATGAGTTTCGTTTGGTATTTCCATGATGTGATATTTATTTACAACAGCAATGCATTTGGCTAAGGTGATGGAAAATTTTTGAAGGTGGGAGGGAGGGGGGGGTGTGTGTGTGAAGATTACAGTTTTCCATCCAAAAATTCTCTTGCATGGTCATGGTTATGACTATTTTATTATTTACTCCATGTCTCTTAGTCACAATACAACAATAGTGCAAATGAAGATTCCATGTGACTAACGGCCATTTTTTTTAATATAAGAAGCACAGTTTGGTTGTATGACAAGATGTGTAAAAAACATAAATCATCAATGTTGGTACAAATTATACTACATTTTAAATTTATATTAATCTTCATTTCATTGCTAACTTTGACAATATTTTTTCAAGAACACCTCCTTACAAACACAAAAACTTCACATTTATATCTCCTATCAGGGTTAATGATTTTTTATATTTGTTGTTTAATATGAAATCTGATATTTATATAGGTATTGAGAGAATGTAAGTATAAAAATGAATCAGAAAATCATGTTACACATTATGTTTAGGCTTTGCTTTTCATTATCTTTCCTCATAAGTGCATACATTGAAAACAGTATTAGTGTATTAACAAAATTAAAATATATTTAGATATAAAGATATAATAATCCTTCCAGCAAAAAAAAAAAAAAAACAATCTTAAAAACCATTTTCACACTGGAGAGTAAGTTCAAGTCATTATACAGATATCTTTTGTTCACCAAAAAAAGTCTGAAATTGTCGTAAAAACCATAAAAATCCTAATAAGTTTTAAGTATATTAAGAAGAAACAAAGACTGAAACAGATATCTAAGAGAAGATAAACCACTTCGGTGATATTCAGAAGATAAGATGGCAATGACTGGTTGATATTTAAACCTAAAAATAATTATAAAAATTCTCCTACAAGAATTTATTCAAATGTGATACAAATATAGGAAAACAAACAAACAAACACAAGCCAGATCTATCAAAACTGAAATGCAAATGGTCTATCACATACATACTTTAAGCAGACTAACTATACAATGTGAACTCTAAGCTTACCCAGTGTCTATGGGCAAGTTTGTAAATAAAACTAATAATATTGTAAAAGTACTTATTTTATTTACAGAATGGACCACTGAACTGGAAAGAAGCATGCAAAAACACTAAAAAAATTCAGTTTGATGCACCAATATTATGTTCCTGCTATACAAGAAAAAATAAAGAAAATAAAAATTGTATACTTACTGAACAAGTTTCCCTACAAACAGGACATATATAAGGGCTGGTTACTGCACTCTTCCATTGTTTAGGTATCTGTGGGTCACATTCTTGATGGATAAACCTGTATGACAAAACAATCCTTATTTATTATACTCAATTATCAAAAGTAATATGTATTATTTTTAATATATCTACATAACTTAAACAAAAGACTTTAACCAGGTACACAACTTTTCTGCATCTTCAGAAGTATTATTCAAGTAAAAAAACAATATTTCAACATAAATATTGTTATCTTGTTTTAACCAATACCAACTCTTGTGATAGAAACAATTTTATAATGTGACTCCCATTATAAACTAGCCTAAGTGGTATATTCCATGCAGAAGAAACACTTTTCAACTTTCACCATGCATTTACCACACCCATGTCTTTCACATAGGGCAAACTTATCTTAAGTTCTGTTTTGTTGCATTTAGCATTGTTTTCTTTTATGTGTTTCACTGGATACAGCAGTGGATTCAGACCAAGATGCTTGGTACCTTGCATTTTTGTTGGAGCTCTGAGGCTAGTTTCAAGATGAAATCCCTCCTATTTATATTTCCTCCAGTGCATTCTTTGTACAAAGAAATTGATGGCTGCCAAGTCCAGGACATCATGAAATACAGTAACTAGCCACCAATAAGACCCAAGTCCAGAACATTATAAAATACAGCAACTAGCCACCAATAAGAACCAGCTTTTACCTAATACTGATGTACCATCTGGTCTGCAACATTCAATCCATATTTTGTCTGGTTGTAGAAAACTACAGTCTCTGGTTTTTTATTCTCAGTAGTGTCAATGCCAACTGACAAGTGAAGATAGTTGAGGATGCAAACATTCTGCTTCGGCTTGCACTTGTAAATAGTCAATGCAGCAAAGTCACTGTGTTTCAAAATTGTACTGGTGTACAGTTCTGGTTGTAAGTTTAGCACAGATGATGGAATCTCTCCTCTTGACTTGTTCACTGTTCCAACTAGGCTGTTTTTTTTTCTGCAACTCTTTTGCTAATTCAAGTGAAGTAGAAAATCTGTCTGTAGTCACATTCCTCCCTTTTCCTAAGTATGGTGTCATCAGCCTCAGTACAAAACTGTCTGTCATCACATTCCTCATTTTTCCTAAGTATGGTGTCATCAGCCTGAGTACAAAACTTTCTATAGTCACATTCCTCCCTTTTCCTAAGTATGGTGTCATCAGCCTAAGTACAAAACTGTCTGTCATCACATTACTCCCTTTTCCTAAGTATGGTGTCATCAGCCTAAGTACAAAACTGTCTGTAGTCACATTCCTCCCTTTTCCTAAGTATGGTGTCATCAGCCTAAGTACAAAACTGTCTGAAGTTACATTCCTCCCTTTTCCTAAGTATGGTGTCATCAGCCTAAGTACAAACTATCTGAAGTTACATTCCTCCCTTTTCCTAAGTATGGTGTCATCAGCCTGAGTACAAACTGTCTGTCATCACATTCCTCCTTTTTCCTAAGTACGGTGTCATCAGCCTAAGTACAAAACTGTCTACCAGTTTCTGATCAGCTGTGTGAGTTTCATCTTTGTCCAGGAAAAGGAAATCATTCAGAATGTATTTTGAGGCAACGTCTACTGCCAGCCAAAACTTTATTTCAATTTGTTATTTATCTGCCATGCATTGTGTCCAGCAACACCATGCTTTTGTAAGAAACAGCTGCTCATCCACAGTAATGTTCTCTCCAAACTTGTAGCAGACAATTCTGTTTCAATGAAGCTCGTCCAAACTTCCAATTCCAAGCCAAATTTGTCTGTTTGTAGTCGGACACTACTTGTGGCTCTCAACTCAAATCACAAAAATCTTAGTATTTCTTGAAATCAATACCTTGGTATTGTCTCTGTCAAAAAAAAAAAAATATCCCATTGTGCAAACCAAAAACTCTCCAGGTAAATTATTTTGCCACCATAGGCCCCACAACCATACAGCAGTGCAATAAATGCTTGTAATTCCTCCAGAGTTGTTTTTAAGGAATCATTGTTTTGCACTCTATGCACCTTTGCTTCAGTACATCGTTCTATGTAGCATAACATTCGCATACCAATCAATAAGTGAAAAGCACTGAGAGGGCTATCAATGTTGCATTTTCCATACTATGTGGAACCTGGAATTTCTACCAAAATGTTTTGTGCAGCCCACCTTCCTGCAGCCTCAACACCAGGATTCATAATTTCCCAAATTGTTCCATCCTTCCCAATCTCCTGTATACCAGCTTGCACTACTGATGCAGCTAGAGTAGCAATGGTTGGTACTATACCTGGCAAAATGGCTGATACAGCTGGAGCACCTGCAGTTTTCCTGAACAGATAGAAACCTTGTTCTTTATACACAAATCAGAAAGGTGTAGTGATTTCACTAACTGGAAGTGTTACTCATAGGCATACAATACTTAACTAGATGTTCTACCATAGTATCCCCAATTGTGTCCTGTTTCAAGAGTAAATAAAACCAAA